GTGTGAGATGTGAATACCCCTGTACACAATGCTCTAATTTGACATACTGCACAAAGTGTGATGCATACTCGTACACCAAGAATGGCAAGTGTTTCGAAATCAATGAGATACTGAATGTGTGTGATGTGATGATGTCAACATTCGAGGGGTGTGTTGTGTGCAAAAACGGGTATTTGCGATCAAGTGATGGCAAACAATGTGTTAGATGTGACGCATCTTGTAAAACGTGTTCAAATGATGGGGATTGTGTGGTTTGTAGTGATGGATATTACAGAACTCCAAACAACAACACTGAGCTGTGTAACCCACAAACAGAATTAAACAACTGTTTGAACAAAACAACGAGTGAGTGCACACTATGTGAAGATGGTTTTGCACTGAAAGACAATTTGTGTCACAAATGTGGTAAAAATTGCACATATTGTGATGACACTTTTGAGTGTTCAAAATGTGGTGATAACAACATTTTAAAAGAAGGCGTGTGTGTTCACTTTTCTCAAATATCAAACTGCATTTCATCACAAAACTCCCTTTGTTGGGAGTGTACAGATAACTACAAGTTAAGTGACGACAAAATTGAATGTTTTATAAACACGAATTATGGTATCGTTGTTGGTCTTCCAATTGTGTGTGTAATTGTACTTGTTGTTATAATTGTCACAATTATAACAATTGTTGTTTTGTTTGTGTTGAGAAAGAAAGATAACAAACACACTGAAAATATTTGTGTCTTCAAGATGAGTCGCTCCAATATTAAGATGACCAAATTTGATGGCGACATTCTATCAAACAAAAATGAAATTTCATTTGGTGATGAAAGTGACAAAATACAAATTGAGACTGAAAGTCGTGAATTGTTGTGTGTTGGCAATTCGTCTAAAGGTAACGTGAAGATTCAAATCACAACAAAAGACAAATGCGACAAATACAAAATTCGGACAGAACCAAAAATAGTGACTTTGAAAAGCGGATTTGCATGCGAATTTGAAGTCTTTATAACGCCATATTGCACAATGGATTTGAGTGATGAAGTTGTGATTGTATCACTTGATTTACATAGTGGTAAACAAAACACAACTTTTATTAACATCAAAGCACTGGTGGAGCAATCAACACGTCTTGATTACGACGAAATCAAAACTGAGAAGAAACTTGGCGAAGGCTCTTTTGGTATTGTCTTCAAAGGAACTTACAGAGGAAATGTTGTTGCAATCAAGAAGATGAAACAAGTTGACAACTCAAATAAAGAAAATACAATTGAAGAATTTAAAAAGGAAGTTGAAATGCTTGATAAATTTAGAAGTGAGTACATTGTCCACTTTTATGGCGCCGTGTTTGTACCAAATAAAGTGTGTATGGTCACAGAATTTGCTGAATTTGGAAGTTTAAAAGATTTAATGAAACATAAAACAAGTAATGAAGTTGACATGAAAATTCGAGTAAAAATGATGAGAGACTCATCAAAGGGAATTTTGTATTTACACGAAAATGGGATCTTACACAGAGACATTAAACCAGACAATATTTTTGTGTTTTCATTAAATGAAAATGACAAAGTGAATGCTAAATTGACTGATTTTGGAAGTGCCAGAAATATCAACTTATTAATGACAAACATAACATTCACAAAAGGTATCGGAACACCAGTGTCCATGGCGCCTGAAGTTCTGAAAAAAAAATACACGAAAAGCGCAGACGTCTTCTCGTTTGGTGTTACTATGTTTGAAGTGTTTGGATGGTGTAAAGCGTACCCACTTGACACATTTAAGTTTCCATGGAAAATAGCAGAATTTGTTATATCGGGGAAACGTCTTGAAAGAAAAGAGAATATCACAGAAACTCTGTTTAAAGGGATAGAAATGTGCTGGGTACAAGAAAAGGCAAATAGAGGAACTATTAATAACATAATAAATTTACTCACTTTGTAATGTAATGTGATTATACTGTTGAGTTTTTTGAATGTGAATATAATATCGTCTAATAGTGTCAAAAATGAATAATCATATTAACCCTTTGAGAATCGAGAAAAAATATTTCTTTTTTTAAAAAAACGGGTTTTTATCTCCCCTGTATGTATTAATTCGCATATTTATTAAACATACAATTTATAATTAATTGATGCTTTATTTTGATTTTAATTATTTTGTAACAACGTTGTTATGATATTGTTTGTTTGAAACCAACTTTTTGTTTAGAAATCAAAAATAAATAATAAAACAAAATCATTATTTATTATATTGAAATTATAAAATAATACCAATTGTTAACTTTATAATTCGAAGTTAGTCGTTAAAAAGTTGTAATAAGTATTTTAGTTGATAATATTCTATTTTAAAAACTAAGAAAACTGTTTTAAAATATTTTCAAATAAAATTTTCTTACTTTTTAATCCAAAATGTCAGAATTTTGTTTGTAATACAATTTGATTTTGTTTGAAATCTTTCAACATTCTATTTAATTCAAATGTAATTGACTTTTATTTGTGTTTTTAAAAATGTATTGTTAACTGGTACATTGTTTTATGATAAACTTTATAACAATTGTAAAAAACAAAAATATATTTAAAAAACAAAAGTTTAAATAATTTTGATATGTTTAACACACTTTATGATCAACTTTATGTTTTAGTACCGGAGAGCAATGACTTGTTATATTTCTTAACATCTTTTTCTCTGCATCATACTCCAAATCAAATCCTCCAAAGCAATTTCTTTGTGTACACAATTCCAAAGTCACGTTTTCTTTTTGGTAATAATATGAATAATATACCATATTGTGTACTGTCTGGTCGTGTCCCCAAATCTGCCATTTCGTATTATTTAAATTATCTACCATGAGATTCAAATAATTTATTATTCTATCAGTTCCCCCAAGCATTAGACCGACATTTAAATTGAGTGAGCTGTTATTTTTATACTGATCTGCTACATTTATGCCATACGTTTCTTTCATCCACCTGTGTAAATGTTTTTGTTTAAAATCCAAACACTTCAAATTTTTGACTCCACACTCTGCTTCAAATATTAAATTGTCTGATGAAAATGTTTGAAATGTGTCTGCAAATATGAAAACGTCCCTGTGATCAGCTATAACTATTCTATCATATTTTTCTTGATTATCTGTAACGTACTTTTAAAAGGCAAAGTACTTTAAAACTGGGTGAAGGCACTTTTCAATATAAGTGACATTTGGTATAAATCCTTTCTGTATTTCAAAACCATAACTTTTAGTGATATTTTCAAAGTCTTTGTTTTCTTCTCCTGGTAGTAAAAGAACAAGTCTCTTGGCATTTGGAAAAGAGTCGTTTGCCAGTGCCATTATAGTTGTTATTTCTTTCTTGTTATTTAACCAATATTTGTTTTTATAACCCGAAAAGCCAACAGCAATAAACAAATCCCTTTTGTTGTTTGCATGGTATTTGAATATTTCTCTGCACTTTCCATCATAATTAAAGTTACTCATATTAATTACCTTGTTTGTATAAGTTGGTTGCGTAAATTTGAAAGTATATACATCATTTAACTCGTTGGGTTTTTTCATTTCTGAACTAATAATTGGAGTGTCATTTTTGATCACCTTCAAAATACCATTCGTGTTTACACTATAACAATACACAAAAAAATAAACAATAATACAAATTGGAGTGCGCTTATAATAAAGAGGGTGACTTGATTCATTGGAATTAATTGGTATTTGTTTATTTAACATTAAGATTATTTTAACATAAAAAATTGTGACTTAAAACAATATTTGTCATAAAATATATTACAACAAAGTATCAATCACTATTATGTTAGTTCATTCAATTTGTGTATTTATCATATATTTCATTTGTTATTGATGTAATTTTATAAACAAATTATTTTTAAATGACAAATTTTAATTAATATATCAATTTGTTTTATCACGTTTTGTTAACATGATAAAATTTACTTGAAATTGTAAAAAAATTCAAGGAATAAATATGTGCAATTTAATTGTTAATAAATCATCAATTATATATAAAATTTTTGTTTCAACAAAACATTACACTAATTTATGTTTTTTGTTGTTAGATATAAATTTTATAAACAAGTGACGTTTAAAAGCCGCTAATTAATTTAAATGTAATGTGTTAACACTTAAAAAACATCTTTTTTCTTTGAAAATTGTTTTTGCATAAAATGTTTTTGAAATAATTACGTTTTGAAATATAATTTTACTTATTCAAAAAAAAGTGGGAAAATGTGAATTGTAATACACACGAAAAAAACCTGATAAACAAACAAA